GGAGTCTTCCTAAAAGTAGGACTCTTATCTCTTGTAATCTCCTATTTAAGGAGCTGAGAATATTGAATAAGATCATCGAATATTCAGTCAAGAAGAGAGTAAGGAGAGTTGGTGATCTCTTGAACAAATCACCCCCTAGGCACCAAGATAGGCACCTCAAGAAAAGGAAGGGACAAGGGAAAACAAGAGGGTTTTCCCGTGGACCGACCCGTGACGAGATCCTATTCCCAGGCCCATAACAAAGCCATGAAGCTATGTTTGGTGAAAAACCCAGAAAGCCCCAAAAATGCTTACATTGAGCTGAGAAATTGACTTTTCGGTGAAGCTAGTTTTGGCAGCTTCTTTGAAGCCACTTAGTCAACACAGCTCACTCAACACCAAAGCCCTCCCAAACGGGCCCTTTCTTTACCAGCTTTCCTCTAAACCTCCTAGAAATTTCAAGTACAAGTCATCGATATCCTTCTAAAAAAACTTATTGCTTAATTAGTGATTAATTTTCAAGGAAATAATGCATATTCTACCAGAACCATATTGCATCCATACAATAACAATGTAGTAGTCTACCTCTATCTCCACTATGTCAATTCTCAAAGAGAATATCAGCCAAAGGCTCTGGAGCCCAAGGTTGGCATGACCTACCAACATCAAAGAGCCCAAGGTTGGCAATAGAGCAACCAACAAAATTCATCTTGATAGTTCCCTAAGACAGGAGATCAATCCTGCAAAACAGGATGTCTGAGATCCAATGATCTCACAATAACCCACCACACTCTAATCACCAAATCCATATTCATACCACCAAACTTGTGTCTGATAAGGATCCAACTTAGCAACTCTAATTGGCAATCAAATCCACTAGCATCCAAAGAGGCTATAGGCTATTTGAGAAAGATCTCTAAATTTTCCTCCCATATCCTCTAAATCAGATTGCATCCAATGAGTGTCAAAAAAAAAGGCTTAAGGTGGTGTTGGATCCTAGCTGCATAAGATGCACATCTAAAGAAACAGAGGTTCCATGTCTCTGCTATAGCATCTAATATTTATCAATTTCATGTACACCATCAAGCAAAAAAAAACTTATTGTTGGTTGGATAGAGCCTAAAATTCCACAAATATATTTTATCACTTCTAATCTTGTATTGGCAATTTGAGCCCCAGAGTCTAATTGCTTGACTTCTCTAGGTATAACATCAGTGTGAAAATAGAAAACTCTAAAAACAAGAAATCTGCAACCTAACAATGACAAATGTAGGACCACATATTTTGATTTTATGTCCATTAAAAAAAAAAAAAAAACAGATATCAGAACAAGAGATGTTACCTGCAGTCTGTGGCTAGCTCAAGAGTCCAGAGACATATCCTAGTGTCATAGCACCATGAACTGCAAATAAGACCCTGAAGGGAAGGCATAATATTACTTCCTTTTTAAAGTATATTACTCAAACAAAATATACCAATCTGCACAAGGCACTGTGCAATGGCCCATGTATTCTCTATAAATGGGCATATGTATACATGATAACAAAGTAGGACAAAAGCATAAGAAAATGACTGCTTGAGATCTTCATGTGAAAGCAAGGGAGGATTACTGTGCAATAGGTGTAGTTTATGTTATAACAATTCATGCACAAAAAGACAAACAAAGCAAGGTAAAAAGCTATACCTCTCAACATCTTTTGGAGTTACTACTGACCATAAATTCAGTGAACAGTCAAAAACATAAACTAAACTCATAAACAAGAAGGTAAGTAACCAGATAGCATTGGCTTCTTAGTTGCTGCTATACCAGAAACATCTTTTTATCAGTTATACCAGATACATCTATTGCAATCCATTAAAGGAATTGTATACTATTCCTGTCAGTTTCTTGAACCAGTGATGCAGAAGAAAGATATAAAAGGATACTGTGAATCATTTAACGTTCAAAATATTTGTGCAGCCTAGCATTGGAGTCTACATTTGGACAGTAAGAGTAGGTTGGCCAGACAGCTAGGAACACCGCATTGGTCTAGTGTGTCTTTGGAGGATAGCCTTGATAAGACCCTAAGCAGTTTTGATGCAGGCATGGAAGCAGGGAAAGAAACCATGGAGAGAGAAATCAGTTTTTTCCTGATTCCTTATCAAATGGTAATTTTGTAATTTTTGAATGTTTTGGATTTTAGTATTTTTCTTTTATATTTCAAATTAATTTTTATAGTTTGTTATTATCTTGGGAATAAGTTTCGTGGTATGTCCATTTTACATTTTAGTATCAAATGGTAATAGTTTGTTAGTATCCAGGGTTCAAAATTTGTCCATTGTACATGATTCTGGTCTCATCAAATAGGTGATCAAGCTATCTATCCAGTAATAACAAGATCTTGTAAAACTGACATGTTTTGAGGGAGTTATGGTCATTTTAGTGATAAGATGTAAGTCAGTTAAGGGATTTGGGTCTTGCTATTTCTTTGGGTGAATCTTAAAATAGTTTTAGTTTGTTTAGTTGTAAAAGAATTTGAAAGTGTTATTAGAGTTGTTTTAAGACTTGGAGTTTTTCACTAGGTTACTTATAGGGCTGCCTGTTTTGAAGCAACTAGAAGTTATTTTGAACCAGTTTTTCATCTAAATTGGAGCCTGTAGAAGGAAATCCAAGCCCTTATATTGAGTCTATAAGTAGTTACCGTAATTGGAATGTAAGAGTTATATTAATGGAATGAAAATATTGTGTGAAATTACCTTCGTTTCTCTCTCCTTTTCTTCCAAAGATGCAATTTTTCTAATCTTCTTCTCTGTTTCAAATATAAATCTCTTCTCATAATTCAGATCATTAGTTCATGTTTTACCCACCACATCCACCAAGTAAGACTTTTCTCCTTTTCATCCGACAACAAGTTTACTCACCCACATTTGATCTTATCGTCCATAACACACAGATCAGTAGATACACCTTAATAGAACATTTAAGAAACATGAAAGGTCACCTAATTGAAAATTTTAACGGAGAGAGAGAGAGAGAGAGAGGATGAAATCTATCTTGATGGAGAACCGAAGACAAGTTAAATGCGTTTCACTGTCCACACCACGAGCGAAGTCCGGTAAGTATGCTCAATCAGTAAATATTTCCTTCAGTAAATTGATTATATTCAAGATGATTAACGTTTGTATCACCGTTATGAACAAAAACACAGTTCTCGATGTGAAATAAGAAGGAGAAGCGGGAATTGTACCATATTGAATGAGAATTCACCTTCAAGATGAGAAGGGGCACGTATAAAATTAGTAACTTTCCAACTGAGCGGCTTCATCTTTCAAGCTGTGAGTGGGGAGAAGTACAGAGAAAAAACCCTTGTCTGTCAATGCCAAGTTCAGCGCATACCTGGAGAAAACTCATAAAATGCATTGATTGCCAAGTGTTGTAACTTGTAAGCAAGACGTGAAGACACAAAATTTACAAACTTGTGCATTCCAACAAATACTTGTAAGCTATGTTTGGTGAATAAGAGCGAAATTTATTGCATGATTATATTTTACAAGTGAAGGTTGTTTGGTTATCCATTTGTCAACTGCTTATTGGGTTTTTTAAACACTTGGTTAATAGGGTGGGAATATTTGGTGACTTACTTTCCCATGAGTGCTTATATTAGCTTAAATGACATTTTTAGCCTTCACTCCAGATATACTTATAGTATATGATTGGCATCTATGCTATTAATACAGATAGGACATTTTCTGTTTGGAAACGTTGCTACCAGATAGGACATTTTTTAGAGCAACAGCAACACTTTTTGTTTGGTACCAGTGCTCCATATCTATTTTCAGCACGGGTACCCATTATAGGTAGTTCACGTCACTACCACATCACGTCCTCGTTGGCAACAACGAGTTGCAATCTAAGAACGCCAAATTCAGCGTTGCTTCAAACCACGCCTTCTCGATTTCCAAAGCATGGCTTAGAGCACCGTTTTTTATGGAAGAACGGTTTCAAACAAACAAGCATTTCCTGGAGCACTATTTTTTCCGACATGACGTTGATGTGTCACCCTTTTTTGGAACAACGACATCGATGCCAAACAGTGCTTTCCATATCATTATAATATACATTTCAATGAAAAATTGCCAATATCATTATATCATGACACATGAAAGCCCACGTGGGCCCATACATGGAGTGCCACATTTTTTTTAACCCTAAAGTTTTACTCACATCGGAGGGGTGGCCACCACAAATTTATTCATATGAAATAATAGCCTCGGAGGGGGGACGTGAGGCCTTACCCCTCAAAACTATACAAAGGGAACCCGACTCATAAAAACATTAGGTGTCCAGGAAACCTAAGATCAGTGAATTCACAAAAAAGGAAGACCTAGCCCATTTGCAGTCACCAAATTTTGTACGTGGGAATGAAGAAGTTCTATGTAGTCATAAACATTTTTCTGAGAAGTTAAGCAACCAAGCTTTGCGAGAGCATCCACCGGTTAGTTAGCCTCTCTATAAATATGTACACAAAAGAATTCCAGTCTACTCTTGAGCTCCTGTACTTGAGACAACCAAAACCAAAGCTTCCAAGGGGCTGTACAAACTCCGTTAAGAATATTAATCAAGATTTTGGAATCCAACTCAACCATAATCTTATGTAAACCTAAAGCAACGGCAAGGTTTAATCCGTCCAGCAAGGCCATAGCCTCTGTAACTAAGTTAGTTTTAGTGCCATAGTTGTTGGAGAAAACGTAGACATACCCATTTCGTCCACTTCTGATGATACCCCCTCCACTACAGGGGCCCATATTTCCTCTGGAAGCACCATCAACATTGAGTTTCAGAAAACCCTTCGGAACCACCATCAAGTTTGCTACTTTAATGGTCTTTCCTTTGATCGAATGGATCCGCAACCCCAAACCTTGCAAAGAGAGCTGTTGGTTGTAGTTCATCTTATGAGTCAGAGATAATGAAGAAGACACCTCATGAAGCCACCACACTACCACCCAAATTACCAGCTTTGAACATCTGAATTTATTTCCCATCTTGTGCCTATTCCTTTCCTTCCAAATCTCCCAAACAGCAAAGCAAGCAATCAGCCCCACCACAACAGCCCATCGATTTATAATCGATGCCGCTAAAAACCAACTAGAGAGAAGCTCCTTAATACTCTCATTTCCCCTAAACAGAAACCCTAACATTCGGCTAAAAAAGAGCCACACTTTTCGAGCTAAACAGCCATGCACCAACACATGATTAATGTCTTCTTCCGAAGGGTCACGACAACACACACATCTGGAAGCTAGTGGAATTCCCAGCTCTTTAATATCAACATCCACACCAACCTTCCCAACCATAAGTTTCCAGAGAAAGAAACTTATCTTGGTTGGCACTAAAGCATTCCACACCACCTTGGACCATGTCACAGAAGGATGAGCAGACCAATAAAAAGACCAGGCCAAGTTAATAGTGAATTATCCCTTCGCCTCAGCTAACCAAACAATTTTGTCATAACAGTTAGAGAGCCTCACACCAGACCCCTGGATGCTATTCAAGACCTCCTCCTCTAGAAAACCATGAACCTGATCTAGGTGCCAAGTCCCTTCTTCATCTAGGACATCACAAACCTTGAGTTACAAATTCAGCCATTCATGTTGAAGGACTTTATCAATCAAGGGGCCATTCATAGTCCACTTATCAAACTAAAAACTTATTTCTCCCCTACCCACCATCCACCTCGAAAGATGGACTATATCACCTCTTACTTTCATGTTTACCTTCCAAGTACGAGAAGTATAGCAAAAAGGGATAGTTGTATAAAAAGATCACGTTTCCAGACCGTGTCTCTAAAGAATTCAATCCATAAAGAGTTGTGGAAAAGTACCTGCCACAAAGCCTTCAATCGAAGAGCCTTTTGAACATCATATAGACTCTTAATTTGGAGGCCCCCTTTAAAGAAAGGTCTCACAATTTTTTCCCAAGTGACCCAATGATGATGATTGGTTGAGTCGGATTTGACTCATAAAACTTTTCATCAACTATTCCAAGCACCTAATAATATTTTTCAACGTTGCCACTCCTGACATCAAATAGATAGGAATACTGTTTAAAATTCCGGTAACCACTTTTTGCACTACACCTTCAAAGGCTTCTACTTTCACCCTACCCTTATCGATTAGAATACCAAGATAAATGAAAGGTAATTTCTTATGCATATAACTTGTGACTGAGAGGATAATATAGATCCTGTTATGAGATGCTTTTGCTGAAGTGAAGAAGTAACTCTTCGCCTTATTCACCAATTGACCCGAACACTTCTCATACCTTCAGATGACTTCCATGACTTTCTCTAGCACTTGCTTGGAGCCCCAAGTGAAAATAATGGTATCATCGGCATAAAGACTATGAGTGATTACCGGATAACCCCTGTGAGTATCATAAATACCTGTAGGATAATCCTCACCCAATTTAGACAAATTTATGCTTAGGACTTCCTCTGCAATAATAAACAGGTATGGAGACAGAGGGTCTCATTGATGCAACCCTCTTGTGGACTAAAAGTATCTTGCGACTCCTTCATTCCATAGAACTGAAAATCAACAGTTGTTTACCATTTTTTTACCAAACCAATCTAGTTTTCATTGAAGCCGAACCTTCTCAAAACAACAAAGAGAAAGGACCAGTTCATCCGATCATAGGCTTTCGCCATGTTTCAGCACCAATTTTATCCCCTTCTTTCAACCATTTGATTCTAGATTTTTGTCGCCAAAAATTTTCCTCCAATTTATGGATCTCATGAAGTTTCTTCCATTCTCCCCTAAGTTCAGTGAGACTATCTACTGAATTCACCTGTAAATGATTCATTTATGCACCTTACACTCTATGCTCTGCCTCTTTCACAACTTGATGAATGTCCCCAAAAACCTCCCAATTCCATTGTTTGAATTTACCCCTTAATTTATGTAATTTGAGAAATAAACTCATCAATGGATCTGCATAAACATTTCCACTCCAACAATCCCTAACTACATTATGAAAGGATTGTTGAGATAACCACATTTGCTGAAATCTGAATGGTTTAGGACCCATCTGCCTTTCCTCCTCAATTGAGAAAACCAAAGGACAATGATCTGAAAAAGTTCAATTTAGATGGCTTACCGGTTTCAAAGGAAAAGATTGAGCCAAGATGGAATTTACCAGAACCCAATCAAGTCGAGCCCAGACACAGTCTAATCTTTCCCTATTATTGCATCATGTGAATTTGCTTCCAGAGAAACCCATGTCCACCAAACCCGCTGCATTAATCAAATCTACAAAATCTTCCATAGCGGAAACATCAAGACTTCTCTCTCCAATCTTTTCCACTCTACATGTAACCACATTAAAATCCCCAACAATCAACCAAGGTTCCGAAACCCAAGAAGCTAAGTTATGGATTCATTCCCACAAAAATGTTCTTCCCAACCGGTCACATTTGGCATAAACCAGAGAGAGAATAAAAGCCCTATCGGCATAAGTAGTAATTCTCACTGTTAAAATCTGATCACAATCTTCTATCAGTTGTACAGAGAAAAAACTATTCCAAAACAAAACAATTTTTGCTACTAATATTAACAATGTAACCAGTCATATTAAGTCTCTTGGTAATCAAGGAGAGTCTATCACCCCCAATCATGTGTTCAGCCACAACCACCACTCTCAATTTATGTAATTTGTAGAGTTTTTTTAAGTGACTAATGGAGGGATCATTAGCAACCCCTCGAATATTCCAAAAAATACCATTCATTGGGAACAACTAGAAGTATACCTTGGCATGTCTGCGATCTAGTTATTGGCCTGTTCTCACTCTGCACATATTTTTTCTAGGCCTTTTCTTTTTGACCACCTACGTCCAGTTCACATTCATGCCAGCTTCGTCCTCCGAATGAGCACAAGAAGGACCTTTCATTCGTTCAGTCATTTTGTCGAGCAACTCAGCATCAAAATTTTTGGCATGTTGTGACCCCACCGGTTAAATCTTTCATCCAATTCCACTTTGGAAATCCTCAGATCCTCCAAACTCCAAAGCCTTTCTGGCTTCCTAGAAGAGAGAGGACTAATAGTCTCGAGCAGGTATGGCCGAACAGGCTTCACACCAATATCATCTTTGGAAATAAAAGATTTTCGCACCCCATCAACAGGGATCTCCACCGTCTCAATAACCGCAGGTTGTGGAACCTGTACCTCCTCCAAATTTTGATTTTCTGTCAAAACCCTCTCTGTGGTAACTGCAGGTTCTCTTTGCACTTCCTGGTAGACCTGCTTCATAGTCTGTTTCCTTGTGGGAATTGGTGCTTGTTCCACTGGCTTTGAAACTGAGGTAGCATTAGTCTTAGTACCTTCTCCCTCTGCTTTTGAAATTCTTTTAGTTTTCAATTTACACTCCCATTCACCATGGCCATGTTTAAAGCAAAACATGCAAGACTTAGGTAGGTTCTCATAAATTATTTTCTACTAGAACCCCTCTTTCCCGAGCCCCAC